TGCCTTCCCCCCATCCACATAAAATGGGGGGGGGGGGAATTTGGCAGTTAGGCCCCTTCCTCCTCACCCCAGGCTCACCTCTGCTCATAGCCCATGCCCTCCTGCTCACACCTGTGGCCTCCCCACTGCAGGCACAAAACAGAACCCTCATCCGGGTAGAACTGCTGGGTCACCTTTCTTTCACCTTATCTCACCCCCCGCCCCCTTTCTCGGTTTTCCTGCAGCCACATGAAGCTAGAGAGTGCGTCCACCTCCTCTCTCGAGGAAAGGGTCAAGAGGAACATTCACTCCATCCAGAGGACACCAGCGGCCCTGGAAAAAAACTTCATGCGAAGATGACCAGGTTTCCCCTTCTTTCCCCAGCCCACGGAGGACTCGCATGCTGAGAGGATGAGAACAGACTGGGGGCAGACTGGGGAGCCAGGCCTTCTTTGTTTTCCCGGTGAGGGGGGCGTGGTGAGCCGGGTTTTAAACCGGAGTGTCGTTCAAGGTCGTAGATCAAACTCGGGCCTGGGCGGGATGTGCCCCATGCCAGCGGGTGTGGCTGGGGGCCTGCCCTTCCTCGCCTCCGGTCCCACAGCAGGACGGAAGAGGGCTCTCCGCACCCGCTGTGGCGGCCACCGAGGAGAAGCAGCAGAAGAGAGTCTGGGAAGTCTGTGCTTTTCTCCCGAGGATGTCGTGATGGTCTGTAAGGGGCAGGGCCGACCAAAATGGTTAAGGTTTATCGGCCGGCAACATTTCTGCTCCTTTCGTTCAGAGTCTGGTTTGCTTGGGCTTCAGATCGGTCCAGCCAGTAGAGAGAAGCGTGTCGTTCTCGTGTCTGTTTCCGGCGGCTTTTCTGTCATTCTTGTCACACACACACACCCCAGTCATCTTTGGGCTTTTAAACAAGGCACACTGCACAGCTAGTGAGCGCTGTACGGACCAGGGTTTCCTTGTTCTGTGCCTAGAGGAGAGTCTATTTTTATTAAGGCTTTGTATTGGATATAGGCCTACTTCTGCTTCCAAAGTAAGTGGGCTCACCTTCCTGGAGAACAGGGGGAAGGTGGCACTTGACCAAATGAAACGTTATTACTGCAGTCTTGTGTGTGCTAATGCCACTGTAACGTGTAAGATATTTGGCCGGCATTAAAAAAGTTCTTGAAGTCGCTGCTTGGTATCCGAGTGATGAGTCTTCCCAATAAGCAGCTTGTACTCCAGGCTGCTTGAAAATACTGTGCATTTCAGTGACACTGGAAAGGCAGGTGCTGTGCCTTACTCAAACAATCCCTTGCTGGAGACCGGATTTGGAAGCAGGCTCGCTTGCTCTCTTTTTGGTGCAAAGAAGGGAGTCATTCCAAGTCTAGCCCCAAAGTGGCCTGCCTGGGAGGGCAGCCACCGTCTCCCCGTGCTTCCTGAAAATGCTCCTGGGGAGGTGTGCAAGGGCCTTCTCTTGTGGGAGCATGCTGCTTTCTCATGCGTGCACGGGGAGCTGGGGGTATTGGTGGCCGCTTTTGTCCCTTGCAGCACATTGTCCCTTTTGTGAATTATGTCTCCCTTGTAAAGAGAGGTTCGGACATTAAATAACACCTCTGAATATCAATTGCTGTTGCTTACGGTAAAAAGGGAGCTGCGGTGGCTCAAGGGGTTAAGACGCTGAACTGCAGGCTGTGGAAGGTCAGTAGTTCAGCAGTTCGAGACCCGAGTGTGCCGCATGACGGAGTGAGCTCCCGTCTCTAGTTCCAGCTCCTGCCGACCTAGCAGTTCGAAAGCAAGAAATTGCAAGTAGATAAATAGGGACCACTTCGGTGGGAAGGTAACAGCGTTCCGTGCGCCTTGGTGTTTAGTCATGCCGGCCACATGACCACGGAAACGTCTTCGGACAGCGCTGGCTCTTCGGCTTGGAAACGGAGATGAGCACCGCAACCCTAGAGTCGGATTCGACTCGCTTTCGAGCAAGGGAACCTTTACCTTTACGGTAAAAAGACATGGCAGAAAGGACTTGGCTATTTTTGATTTAAAAATGTATTTTCAATCATGAAAATAAGGTTCCTGTTGAAAATGACGGTGTTGTAATAGAAGTCAAGGCCTGAGAATGCAAGTCAGGCTGTGATTTCTATTGGAATGGGAAGCGGAGTGGTGGGAGTCTGGATTCCTGTTTAGTCACGGTGACATCCTCACTTATAGGGGAAACGGGTTTACCTTTAAACACTCTCTGTGTATATAAACTTGGTAGTTTTCTGCTGCCACCAGGCATTAAAAATTCCAATTCTCTCTCTTTTGATAGTATGACCTAGGGTCTGGGCACTTCAGAGGACTATGTGGCCCTGAGGAAGTATTGTACTGATCTCTGGGATAAGTTTAAACAAAAATTGATTTATTTAATAAAGAACAAAATAGGTTTCTGGTTATTTTGAACAGTTGCTGAAGAAAGGAACTTATAAATATAACTGGTGCCACAAACAGTCTCTCAAACTCCACTCTGACAGGCTTATACACTCAGTATACTCTCTCTCATATATATAGCCACACAGGCTAGTCTCTTTGTTTTATTCACACTGAATAGAATCACTCTCTTAGTCACACAGACTAAACTGTGGGTCTTATTCACACAGAATTAGACTCAGAATTCTATAGTCACACAGACTATGTTCTCTCTTCAAACTTCCCATACAGAATCCTTCATAACTCTCAGAGTCACACAGACTCTCTTCGAAACGCTTCCATACTTGTCTCTCTCATATCACAGAATCTCCTCATAGACAGAATCCTCCCAGACACCCCTCCTCCCACACTCTTAGTCAGCAGCCAATCAAATCACACTTGTCACCCTCTATCACTCTTCTCCTACTACTGCAGTCAAACTAAACATTTAAAGGAACACACACACCAAAACATGGAATCATTACAGTCACGTCCTCCTCGGGGGAAGGGGGGTGGAGGTCTTAGCAAACTTCTCCCCAGGGGACAGCAGCCTGCTCCTAACTCCCCGCATGGCACCAGCACAGCTAGTCGGTACCAGTGTTCCCTCTAAGCTGAGTTAGTGTGAGCTAGCTCACCGTTTCTTAGCCTCCGGCTCACACATTTTTGTCTCAGCTCAGGAAGGATGGGGCTCCAGAGCAAACTAGTTTATGCAGCAGCCAAATGGCTCGCTCACAACTTTAATGCCAGCAGCTCACAAAGTAGCATTTTTGCTCCACAGCTTAGAGGGAGCATTGGTCAGTACCCTGTGCCCTCTCAGCATAGAAGAGGAATTCTAAGAGAACGCCATTCCTGGGTCCTCCGGAGTGCACAGCAAGTGCGCTTGAGACCACAGCAACACAGCTGATGCCCACCAGTCAGGGAGTGGTCTGCCAATGGTGCCCATGTTTGCCACACGTGGAGGCAGCCATCCAGGGGGCATCTTCCTGCTCCTGACACACAGAACATAATTGGGGGGGGGGAGAAAAAGGAAACTGCACCCTCTGCTGTAGGGAGGAATGTGGCATGCCAAAGAAGAGGCTAAAATGCTCACAGGATCTCTGCAGGGGGGAGTTTTGACTCCCCTCATGCAAACAGACGGAGAGGCACAGGGAAGAAAGCGAGGCCGCTCCGGCCACAGATACCCTACAGTAGCAGGCTCCCACCGCACTAAGGCCAGGGGAGGCAGGCCCTAAGGCAGCAACCGCACCCCTCCGAGAAGGGGTGCAGTTCCGCAGGGCCTGCAAGACGGAGCTCTTCCGCCAGGCTTTTGCATAGGGGCCGCCGCTGCCACCACCACCAACGGTAGCAATACCATCGGGACTAGGAATCGCCCTGGAAGTTCCGCCACAAACCGCGTGGCATTGATAATGCGGGACTGGCTTTAACCATCTGCTGGACAGTGTCACCCCATTGGGGAGGATTTGTAGATGCCATCAAACCACTCAAGACCATCTGTTTACCAAAAGCACTTTGTTATTGTTATTGTTGTTGTTATATATGATTTTATTGCTTTATCTGGTTTTATATATGGGCATGTGCCCCTTGTAAGCCGCCCTGAGCCCGCTTGCGGGGAGGGCGGGGTATAAATGTTTAAATAAATAAATAATAAATATGGCATCTCTCTCACTCCCTTATCTGCTCCCCAGAGCTCTTGGGTGGGGGGTTTCAACTCGCCCCCATGGGAGAAGCTGGGGATCAGATTAAGCCTCGCCTCTGGCCAGCAGCAGGCAGAGCTGCCCGTACCCTGCACAGCAGGCCTCTAACCGCACGGCGAACGGGGCCCAGGAAAAGGGGCTGTCGTGAGGCACGCAGAATCCTTCAGGGGTCTCTCTGTCCTAATCAGAGGCCCGCCGTGCTGAAGGAGGTAGTCGCGAGTAGGGGGGTGGGCCCAGAGTCCCACCCCAGCAGAGCCCCAGCTGTAAGATCATCCAAATGCTTGTTGACGAGCATCAGGAGCAGAGTTCTGGGTGCCAGTCAGGTCAGCGGGGGGTTGCCAGCCATCTGGATCTAGCAAAGTTCCTGTGCCTTGGAAACCTGTATTGGCAAAGCAGTGTCATAGGTGGGAGCTGCGGTGGCTCAAGTGGTTAAGACGCTGAACTGCAAGCTGTGGAAGGTCGGTAGTTCAGCAGTTCGAGACCCGAGTGTGCCGCATGATGGAGTGAGCTCCCGTCTCTAGTTCCAGCTCCTGCCAACCGAGCAGTTCGAAAGCAAGACATTGCAAGTAGATAGATAGGTACCACTTCGGTGGGAAGGGAACAGCGTTCCGTGCGCCTTGGTGTTTGGTCATGCCGGCCACATGACCACGGAAACGTCTTTGGACAGCGCTGGCTCTTCGGCTTGGAAACGGAGATGAGATGAGAGTCGGACTCGACTGGCTTTCGAGCAAGGGAACCTTTACCTATGGGCCACTGTGGATCGTGGCCATTTGCAGGCTGGCACCTTTGTTCAGTTAAGTGCAGCTGTCACAGTGTGTGGGGGGGTGTCCTGGGCCGTGAAGGGCTTTGTACGGGACAGTCTGTATGGTGAACTGAACCTGGAATAAAGTTTGCTGCTTCAGACCAACATGGCTACCCACCTGAACCTGGAGCCCAGTTGTTATCCAAAGGTGCGACTGCAGAAGAGGTGTGAGATGCACACTGCCTGGCTTCCAACAGTAATTGAGCAACCGCACATTGATGACAGCCAACTCCAAAACTGTGAATGACTCTTCTAAGAGAATAAACAGCACACAAAACAAGACAGCCTTAGAATCATAGAGTTGGAACGGACCTCTGGGATCATCTAGTCCAGTGGTGGCGAACGTATGGCACAGGTGCCAGAGGTGGCACTCGGAGCCCTCTGTGGGCACGCGTGCCATCGCCCCAGCCAGGCCCAGACCATCGTTAAAGTGTCAAATTCTCTGCCAAATAATTTTAAGTCAATGAAAGCATGTGAGATTGCTTTACCTTACTTTGTTTGGATCATCTTAAGTTAATGTATGAGTTGTTTTTTCTAAAGTAAAACCTCAGTATTCAGGCTAAATGGCCGTGTTGGCACTTTGCAATATATAAGTGGGTTTTGGGTCGCAGTTTGGGCACTCGGTCTCTAAAAGGTTTGCTATCACTGATCTAGTCCAACCCCCTACACAATGCAGGAAATTCACAAATACCTCCACACCCACAGTGCCTTCATCATCAGAGTTTATTACGGTCAGAGACCCATCACACAGCATACAGGAACAAACAAGACAATCCCAGGTTACCAAAGCATTACAGAAGTGAGACATCATAAGAAGTTTTAAGGAGGTGCTTGCGCTTTGTAAATGCAAAAAAAAGAAATTTAGCAACATTCCTTGATATTGCGGAGGATTTATCCTCCAATAAGTATTTCAGCAAAGACCTCCAAGGTAGCCTTCTCAGAAGTGTTACCTGTTCCACGCGCAGGGCCGGAGAGACAGGCAGAGATCAGGAGTCTCAATGCGTGGATGAGACGATGGTGTAGGGGGGAAGGGTTCAGGTTTGTTAGGCACTGGGATACTTTTTGGAACAAGAGGGAGCTGTACAGGCGAGACGGTCTCCACTTGTCCCGAGAAGGAACCAGGCTGCTGGCACTTAAAATCAAAAAGGTGGCAGAGCAGCTTTTAAACTGAATAT